GAACTAAAAGAGGGTTAGATTAGTTTAAAACACAGTAAAAGTAACAAACTTTCACCGATGAGTTCCTTGGACTTCTCGATGTACTGAGCAATCTTCTGTCCGAGTGGGTTGTTGTCGAAGTACTTCTCAAGTTCGGCAACCGCATTCAGACGACGGGCGCGGATAGCACGAATTGGGTTGTACTGGTGCATTAAGCGGATCATTTTGTTAGCTTATATCCAACTTCGGAATGTTTTAAGATATCTCAGTCCTACCTCCATACCAAGCAGCCAATCAACCAATGTAAAAATATTGTCAAATTATCTGCTCATGTCTCCCATTGACCTAATCATTAATCATAGTAGAATAACTGTGAAGCACAAGGATGCGGAGGTCTTGAAGACATGCACGTTAAGTGGTGCCGTAATATCTGCCTATGATTCTTTGGCGGCATTCCTAACTTTATACCTATAATTACTTGCTGAGGAAGTATCTGGCGGGTTAGTAAAGACACAGTATGGTCTAACACCGCTGCGAACTATGCTGACCTAATGGTCGCTAGGTTGACTCCTGCTTTGCTGGGCTACCAGAAGCAAGTAGTTATTTATCCTGACAAATAAAGTCTATTATGTTCTGCATATACTACCAGGCTGTCGGCATATTAATTAGGAATGTCGGACTGGCAGATTACAGCGAGGACTCACCTGTCTAAAGGGGGAAAGGGAAGAAAGATGAGTTAGAAGAACACTGTTCAAAAGGCAGGACTTACTCGGCAGCTACGGCGACCACGAGGACAGCCAGGAGGGCGAAGATCAGGGCGCGCATTTTTGACGAGAGATGAAGATTGGAGGAGACTTCGAATTTTTTCGTGTCCGCGGCCGCTTATATATGTGCGCTGGTGCAAATAGTGCACCACTAATTGGCCCGTGCACCAAACGATGAATGGGCCAGAGTGCAGGTCAACTTCCGGTACACCGACTATCACGCACATCACCTTTGGTCTTTTGATCACATAAATATGACGATACGTCAGTTTATTGCTAAACGCTATCGTTTGTCACACAGCGTCGAAATGAAGGCCTGCGTCCTAATTCTGTTTGCCCTGGTGGCTGTTGCCTTTGCTGAGGACAATGAGTAGGTTTCATGCTCGATGGTTCTCATCTAACCCCTTGCTCCCTCTCCATATAGTGAGGTAGGTCTGCACACGTGCAGGTTTGATGAACACACACAACTGTGTTTGTCCAAATGTCAGTGATGTTGTCTTGAGTCTTTACTGCATTTCCTTACTAATTTTGGTGTTTTGGGATAATTTTTTCCATTGTTGCCCCCTAGAAGTCCGTTGAGAACCTCAGAGTTAACGTGATACAGAATATCGCCAGTATCCAGAAGTTCTTTAAAAAAGACCCCCTTGGTATGGAGATTGTCGATGAAACGGGGGA